AGAAGTGGCAACATATAACAAAAGTGTGTTTTCATTCTCAGTCATTTTCAGAGAAGGGAGAATAAAGAAAGGGAGAAAAAGGAACAAGTTGTCTTTCTGTACAGTAGCCACTAGAATGGGGTGGGCAATTATTTGGGCCCACAGGCCACATAGGGGGTTTTGAGGAGCGGTTGTAGGCTGGTTCAGTACCCTGCTCCCCCCCATACAACAGCTCACCAAACCTTCCTATGTAGGATGGGGCCATGGAGCTGGAGTGGGTGCGGGCAGATAAATTGTACTGTTTTTTAAATGGTTGGATGCAAATGAAGGGAAAGATGATAGTTAGCTTATATGTCAGCCACATGGAAGAGATATAGATAAGTGGGACAACAACTTCCTACTAGGTTGCTAGCCTAGAACTGGGGTTCATTTCCTGATCCACCACAAGTATCCAGTGCACCTTTGAGCCAGTCACTATCAGGCTGCCTCTCAAACCCAGCACTTCAGCCTGTCCAGATCAGCCACTTACCCCAGTCCGCCACCTCTCAAACCAACTACTCAGGCTCAGCAAACCTGGCCAGAAATCTACCTCTAGGTCTGGTTACCCGCCCACTTCATGCCCCTGCAGTGGTGGGCCAGGGTCAGCAAACTCTTCACTCCCCCCCTATAAAACCCTGACCAAGAAGAGGAAGTGTCTGGGCAATAGGGATCAATTCCTATCTAGAGTGCTTTGTTGGTCCTATGACTTGATCTGCCCTCCAGCTGATCTCCTGGCTACCTTATCCAGCTTGCCCTCTGACTCCATGCTCTGTTGCCTCCTTTAGCTACCTAACTTGGTTTATCCCTGGACCCGGTTCTCTGCGTGATCTTCTGGCTACCTGACTTGGCTTGCCCTCTGACTCTGCGCTTTGCCTGACCCTCCAGTTTCCTGACTCAGCTTGTTCCTGGACTGACTTCCTAACTTCCTAGTGGTCTGCACCTCAATTTTACTCATTCCTCCCAATCCTGGCCAGCCCCTCAAACACCCAAGTGACCCCCAGGCCTGGCTACCCATCATTCAGTCCCTTTGTGCCCAAGTTCCCCATCTGTTTGGTGCTCAGATACTATAAAGGTGGGGGATACATAATTGTGGGTACAGTGAAATGCTACACTTGTTCCATAGAAAAATAAGATACAACCTTCTACAAGCAAGCATAGTCAGGAAGAAATCCTTTCAGCAGTATGCAGTGCAAACCTGTGAACCACGTGGGGCCTATAAATCAAATGGCCAAGGTCATAGAAAACTGAGCTGAACAGTTTGGCCTTGGCAGGAAAAAGTGTTCAGCTGAGCTCATTGCTTACACTTGTCACCAATGGGTACATTCCATAATGAAGACAAAAGCACAGAGTCCTGTGTGAATGTAGATTCTTAGCTCTTTGTAGCAGGGACTATTTTTTGTTGTGCTTCCGGGAAGCACATGGTGTCCTTTAGCTGCTATAGAATTAAAGAAATATAGGGAGCATCTATACGAAACTCTACAGTAAGAGTTGCCTAATTAGTCCCACAGTAATGCGTCATTGTCTACACCAGTAGTGCTATTAGGCCAGAGTAAACAAATTAACTCCACTGTAGGATAGTACTGCCCAATACAAATACTATTCTATGGCAGAGTTATTTACTCCACCACAATGCACATAACTGGAGCTGGCTGGGGCATAAGCACCCACATGCCCCAGCCAGCACTTCTGCAGCATGTTGAGCTGGACGGGGAGCAGTCCTGGGCTGGCAGGCCAACCCCTGGGGCTTCGCTGCCCTGGCTCAATGGGCTGTGGTCCCAGGCGCACATGTAAATTCTGCACTCAGGAGCAATAAATTCCAGCATGAACTGCACCAGTTTCTTGCATCATATTAATATCATGTGTAGATGCACCCACACAGTCTGAAGCAATGTTCCTTCTCCATGCTGATAATATTTATTTGGTTGTTTACTATTTTCACATATTAGTTCAGCCAGTGCTGAAGGTTCTGTATCCCAGGAAAACTGTCGAACATGCACCCTGTATTTACTCACTTAAGAACCAAAAAGAGATAGTGTCAGATATCATAACTCTAACTCACCTGCCTAAACCACACACACATTCATGCAAAGTATACGGAAATGGATGTTTTGTTGTTGCAGATTTAACAGTCTTAACTCTCACCACTGAACTATTGATTTTAATGTAATTTTTTCTTGGCTTATCAAAAGATTGCCTTTTATGAGATGCTTTGAAATGGAAGGTATTCTCAGTATACTGGACAGCCCCTCTCCTCGGCTTTGCCTATGCAGTATTGAGGTACTGCACCAAGTTAAAAAGCAAAGGCATTCTGTGTTGAGTCAGAATCTCTTGGTGCTCTCTAGCCACTAAGGAAAGAGCTCACATTACTACCCAACAATCCTGGATGAAATAAGGGGAGCAACAGCTCTCCTTACTCTATGTCTCTGGAAACATCTACACAAAAAGTTTTACTGTGCATTAGACTAGCCTAATGTGCAATAAAGCATCACCATCTACACGTACATGGGACTTACTGTGCATTGTATTAGTCCAATGCACCGTTTGCTAGTACCAACATATACAGGTACTAGATAAGTGGTGCATTAGCTAATGTGCCATAGGACACATGTAGACGTTGACCAGGAGCAACTTGCTCTTGGTCAGCCCAGAGAGCAAGGAGCCTGCGCCTGCCTGGCTAAGCCTCAATGCGGGGAGGAGCTGTGCCAGCTCCAGGGACAGTTGTCTCCCTGCCACATGAGGATTGGGACCTGTCCAATCTCCATGTGGCCGGGAAAGCTGTGCTGGTTGCAGGGACAGCTGTCTCCCTGCCACCTGGGGATCAGGATCAATAATATGCAGAAAATTCAGGTGCATTAATTGCACATATAGACGTGCCTTCTGTCCCTTTAAGTTGCTGCCCTGCCCCTCTTGAGGAAGTAGTCATGGAGCTGTCCCTGTGCTCTCCTGAGTATTAGGGACTGGAATTCTGCCTGGTCCTTATGCTTTACTGATGAGGTAGCAACAAGCCACTTCTGAAACAAAGGAAGACCAAAGTACAAGTAAGAAATCACAATTGCACTTGTAACTTAGGGGTATTTGGTGCATCATCTTCACACTTGGCAGATCCAGTCTCTTTTGGCTCCAGACTAAATAGTTAGGCCAGATCAATTTTCCACACCAACATGACAAGGCTACTAAAACAGAGTTATATAGTGAAAGCTGGCTTCTAGCTTCCCATAAGAACACAGAAAAACCTGGGTCACTGAATCCAGTCCCTTGCTGTGGCAAGCAATTACATCATATAATCCTTTTTATAACTGTACCTAAAGATGCCAAATGATCAAGCTCAACTAGGCAGATACTGCCACGTGTCCTTAACACAGTACTAGTACCCTCAGTCACTCTCTGCACCTAGTCGTCATGGGTAGATAAAAAGAAAAACAGAAAAGTTCTTTCCAAGCCTGAGCCCCTCACAAGTGCTTGTATTATCTAAGGCACAGCTGTGACATTGTACTATTGTGCTCTAAGCTGTTATGACAATCTGACAGTGAGGAGCGACCAGCTCGGTGTTCTCAGACATACCCTCTGTAGTCATTGGTTGCAACCAACTGCCTTGAACACCAGTTTGCAGAAACCAAATACATTCCCAAAGTCAAATGCATAAATCAGTGCTATGGATAATATCCGCCAGGCTGCACGTTTAACAATGTGCTGGACAAACATAAAGGGATGACAGGAAGAACTCAGGTTTGCCAACTTCTCTCCCTGCCCCAATTGCTTTGTTTGAGCAAAGGGAGACAGGAAAGTGTTTTGTCATTTCCTTCCATCTGGGCCCCTGTGTCCTGTATACCTATATGCCAGCAAATTCTTCTGCTATAAGCCTGACGAATCACAGTGAAAAAGTACTTCTGCCAGGGAAGCCTATGCTGGTTCCCTCCATGAAATAAGTTATACAAATAAAAGCATTTTTGTGGGTATAACTGTTTACACTGGGACTTGTATCACCATAGCTCTGTTGGTAATAATAATAATAATAATTAAAAAAAAATCATTCCCCTAACTGACTTACCTCTGCTAATATAAATTTTAAGCATAGACCAGTCTTAAATCTAAGCAGGGGCTTGATTTTTCAGTACTCGGATTCCTGCATGTTAAGAGCTGTGGCTGGTAGGATAGAGTCAGTTCTCACCAGTCAGCAGGAGATAGTGAGGAGTTACAAAACTGGGTCTGCTGAAAAGGAAGTTAATGAGACAGACAAGGCCTGTCACTCCCTCCTCCTTGTCCTCCTCCTCTTGGACTCTTTACATGTTGGATTTTTTTTTAACAATAACAGATCGCTTACAATTTCTCTGTCCTAAACATCCAGTAGGACTGTATTACCTAGGAGACTATTTCTTTATCATTTTCCATAATGATTCCTTCTCTCTGGGTGACTCCTAGATTATCAGACACAACCCCTCATCATGGAGGAGGTTGTGTGCAGTAAGCGTGGGCCTACGAAGGAAGCTGTATAAAATCATGCTTCCCCAGCTGGGCCACAATGCCGCTGGAAGCTCCTGGGACACAGAGCTACTATGCCTCTCTTCTGAGACAGGATCTCTGGCTGACCGCAAAGTATGGGAGGGCACAAAGGGCAGAGGTGAAGGGGTCCTTGTAACCTGCCCTCCTGCCTATACATCTGTGGAGCGTCCTGCCAGGTTCAGGCCTCGGCTGCATGATTTTCAGGTGGCCATACAATACCTAGGATCACATCTAAGCACTGTTTGCTGGAGTGTTGTCCGTTCCCAGCATTTACTCAAAATAATCCTGCTATCCAGCTGCAAAGTAGCTATAACAGTGTAACCAAAGTAGCTAAAACTTGTCCAGTTGCTATGGGAGAAAAAATGGGTAGCGCTGGAGGAAGTTAGAAGCCAGAAAGAAAAACAAGAGGCACAAAGTGGGTCAGTAGTGAATAACAAGCAAGGGAGGGGAGAGGGAGGAGCAGTATCTCTAGAAGAGCTTACCTTGGGGCCAGAAAGGGCTGGATCTGGATTGACCAGGGAGGAGTGGGAGACACTAGGGCCGTCTCCCCCACACTCTTCTCCTCTCCCTCTCTCTGTTTTTCTCCTGGCTGTCTTTTCCCTCTTTTACGACACTCTCCCTCTCCCAGGTAAGCAGTAGAACAGGCTCTGCAGCAGGAAGTGAACCATGTATGCAAATTACAAAGCAGACGTGGAAAGCCTCAGCCTGAAAATCTCCCTGTGGGGGAGTGAATCAGTAACAGAGGAAAGCCAGTTTGAAGTTAAAAAAACCCCTCAAAATATCATTCCCCTAGGAAGCCGGGCTGCTTTCTTTTAAACTAAACAGCTAAGGAAGAGTAGGGAAAATCCAGTCTGATTTCTAAGTACACTGTGCAAGACTGGAAAAGGCATCTCTCATTTTTGTTTTATTTTGTTAAAAGACACACTGTCACCCTTAGCATATGAGGATTGAGACCACCCAGAAACTTCCAAGGTTAACTAAACAATTCCTTGATTTTAAATGTTTTTGTTTTGTTTTTGTTTTCTGGTATTCTGTCTTTAGGGCACACTCAACGTGTGCGTGTGCTTGCCCCTGCAAAACTAACAGTTTGAAACTTATTTTTGATATGAAATGAGAACGGACAGTTTCATGCATTCACATGCATCTAGCTGCTGGGACTTGAGTAAAACATCAAGTATCATAGGAGCTGGCGACACTGCGATAGACTTTTTTAGAGACACTGAATCATCCCAGTTGTCTTTCTGCCAAGGCAGCATTGGTTTCCACAATACATTCTGTAATGCTCTCTCCAGCTCTGTGTCCTAGGAAAAGCAGCTGCCACAGCTCCCAAGTCCAGAGGATCTCATGATCAGAAAGTCTTTCCTTATGTTTAACCTACACTTTCCTTTCTTATTTCACCCTATCATCCATCCTTATGCTCCTGGGTACAACATTAAGTCACTTCTCAGATCTGTTTTACCCTGTGAATCTTTGCAAGCTGCCATCACATTCCCCCTTAATTGTTACTTAGCCAAGCTATGCAGATGTAGCTATTTAAATCATCCCTCAGAAGTCAATTCCTCCAGCTGCGTGATTGTTTGTACTACTCTTTTCTGAACTCCCTCCCATTGTATCAACATCTTGGTAAAGAGCCTGCCACTGAATGCTGAGTTTAACTGGGACTTCAGCATGTGAATTTGGTTACACCTGGAAGAGCCCATGACCTCTCAGCTTCCTGATAGTCTGGCGTATTTGCTCCCCGTAGACTTTAAAATGAAGCAAAGTTTACGGGCACCATCAGTGCTTTGAGTAAGCATTACCTACTGCCATTTGATAACACCTCTAATTTCAGCTGGGTCTCACAGACCTGTCTGGTTGCAAACCTATGCCTACTTTTATTACCCTCTGTCACCTATAAGTATCATTCAGCATGGCTACTTTCCAAGTTTCTAACCTAAGCTACAAAAGTATGGGGATAGTTGACAGCTATAACCCAAAATACTTATTCCAATAAACTGACAGTACTTTGAGCTACTGCCCTAAAGTATTGTAGTCCAGTGGTTCCCAGCGTATAGGCTGAGACCTCACTAGGGTCATGCCACTTAAAGGCCGGGGCCTGGCAGATATTCATTTGGAGGGTTGGGATCAAGCCAGAATTGGCCTCACAAGCTGGCTGGAAATAAGGGTGTGAGCTGGAAGCAGGGTCATGACAGAAGAAAAAGACCGGAAACTGCTGTAGTTCTTTCCTTCTGCTTTTGAGAAGCGCCCATTCCAACTCTCATTTACTAGCTTGTGAGGACTCTTTCTGCAGCCTATTATTGCCATACCACTGTCAGAAAAGGCTCCTGCAGAGCATCTTGAAACACTCCTGTCACTCCCTCCTCCTTCTCTTGGACTGAACACGTTGCTCTCTTGAGCTGCTTGCATCAGTGCTATGAATGAGAGAGACTTCCACATCCCCGGGGGTATTGCAGAACAGTATTATTGGCTTACTGGAACAAAGCGTGACTGGCTGACTGTTCCCCTCTCACATTAGCATCAGTGCTGTGGCTTTCTGTGCCCACAGCAAACTAGAAAACATGTGCCTCTCAGTGTCCATGATTCCTAAACATTTTGCTGCCCTAGGCGACCACCTGTTCTGGCAGTGGGGTCTTGCCAGGCCTGGATGCGACTGCATTCCTACCAATTCATGTGGCACTAGCAGTGCAGCTATAAATGGGGCCTTTTAATCAGTTTAAGTTTAAAGCCATCTGGTCGTGGCCCAAATGTGTTGTTTTGCCACATGCACATTTTTCACAATTACAACCCTTGGTCTGACAGCTGCGAGCAGCAGGGCTGTAGCTGTGTCGTTTTGTGGGAAGGCTGGGCTTATTCTGAGAATCGTCTCACACGGGTATTTTACAAGGTGCGTGTATGAAAAAGGCAATTGCAGCGAGGTAAAGGCTTGGTTTTGCAGCTGGCTTGCTGGAACAGCCACTGCACGCAACACACAGACACTGGGTAGATTCAGGATCTGGAGTTCTTGGCTGAACACTTCCTGGTGGTGACTCATTCTGGGAAGTTCGGGGAAATACCATATTTACTCATATATACAGCCAAGCCATTTATTGCTAGAATTGCAAGGCAAACCTTCGGAGATTGGCTTATACACTGATCAATTAAAGACAGCGAGGAGTAAGGAGTTCTTCGGAGGAATCCTAAGCTACTTCCTATCCAGGGGAGACTCTTCTTGAGCTTCTTAGTGGGGGTGCAGAGGGAAGGTAAAAATACTGTCAGTTCACATGCAGGACATGCATTTTGTTAGCACTGAGTGGGGCTGGCTTTTTGGGGGTGGGGTTTAGTGAGTACATACGGTAGAGCTAACTGTGACTTACATGTGCATCATCATCATCTAACTGTTGCAATGAACTGTGAAGGAGACCAAAGCATGTTTATCAATCATTCATGCAGCACATTAAACAGTGCTCTGTCTCAAGGGCAAGAATTGAAGTTAGTTATGCTCATGCAGACATTAAGAGCACTTTCTGTGTCCAGACTCTCCACCTAGCCTCTCCCAACCCAAAACCTAGACTGATACAACAGCAAATTTCAGCTGGCGACACCTAATAGTACTAGCAATCCTCCTAGCGTGTCTGAATCTGAAACATAAATAACCTGAGCTTCCTGATCCCAAGAACTACAGGCTTTCAGTGCAGAAAGGGTCTGAGGTCTGGAACTGTTTTTGCAAACCTGGCATTTAAAGCTCTCAGATGACAGCCAGCAGCTGAAATGTACAGGGGAGGCTTCTCTCCATGAGCTGACAGCTGCCTGCTGGCTACCCGCAGCCTTTCTGACCCTGCATGTGGGGAAATGGCAGGCAGCAGATGAAAATGACTCTCAGCTTCTGATGGCCGATTCATGGTTTCCCATGTTCTTATGGAAACGGACACAGATTGGCAGAAGACAAGGTAAATGTGTACAGACGCCTACCCAAGCTTTTAAAGCACAGTTTAGGAAGCAAGCACTCTTAAGTAGCAAGTGACTTGCTTTTCTGAGGCATCTGACTACTAAAAATAGCATTATTGCTTCTATGCAAACACTGTAATTTAGGGTGCATGTACTGGTTCACGTTTGAATTAGAATGGTCCAGTGTGGCCCCGCCATCACATGTATTAAGCCCCTACAGGTTTAAAAATTGTTGCTGGGGCACTTTATCTAAACCTCATCGAACAAGGTTTAGATAAAGTGACCTGTGGCCTTTTTTACACTTGCAGGGGCTTAATACATGTGACAATGAGGTGTTCTAATTAGAGCAGCTTTCTGGGACCTGCTCTAATTAACGTCCCCTTCCCCATTGAGCATGTGGTGAATAGGCAGCCTCTGTGCCTAATACTGCAAACACTTACTATGGGGCAAAATATATAGCCCACTGAAGTCAATGAGAGTCCTGGAGGAAGTACATACTCACTATACCTAAATGGCCATGCACAGAGGATTGGGCCCGAGGTCATGGATATACTTACTGTGCGCAGTCCTTTCATTAGTAAGAACTAATTTAAACCAGTCCACATATGATCTGAACTTACTGATAGGCAAGCAGTGAACAAAGAAGTCTGCACTTTAATGCCAATCTCCACTTGTTGCCCACTGATCCCTGAGGATTTGTGCTACTTAAACACAGGCCAAAAGATCAGGGTTTGTCCTATAGTAAAAATAAAACAGAACTCAGATGTCTTCCATTTGAGGGTTGTAGAGAGCATCACAAGAATGAACGAATGAGAACTTAGGACATTCCTGTAAGAGAGGCCAATGTGAGTATCTCAGATTGGCAAGTGGAGAACTGATGCCAAGAACAAGGAAATCATTGATACCTTTCAGTCCTTTTGTGTACAGGCTCCCTAGCAAACCCCCCTCCCCCATGCAAGAGCTTTTCCCCGAAGACACTTGGGTGACTGTGCTGGCTCTATCCTGCTTGGACTTTCTGCACAGCACATGACCACCTACAAGGTCCATTCAGGGTATAGAACTGAGAGTACAAATTAAAAAGCAGGAGCTGAAGTAGTGGCTGCAGCTGGAGTACTGTGTCCAGTTTTGGGCACTGCACTTCAAGAGGGATATGGATAACCTTGAGAGGAGAGGCACTCATATGTTTAGGAGCCTGCATGAAAGGTCTTATGAGGAGAGATTGAGGGACCTGGATCTCTTCAGCCTCCATAAGAGAAGACTGAGGGGATCTGGTGGCCGTCTACAAATTCATCAAGGGGCAGCCAGGTATAGGGGATGCTCTGTTTACCAGGGCGCCCCTTGGAGTAACTAGAACAATGGCCATAAACTGACAGAGAGCAGATTTAGATTAGACCTTAGGAAGAACTTCTTTACGGTAAGGGTTACCAGAATCTGGAATGGGCTTCAAGGGAGGTGGTGCTCTCTCCTACCTTGGAGGTCTTTAAAAGGAGACTCGACAAACACTTGGCTGGGGTCTTCTGACCCCAGCTCTCTTTCCTGCCCAGGGCAGGGGATCAGACTCAATGATCTTCTGAAGTCCTTTCTGACCCTAAAAATCTATGAAATCTATAAAACCACCTTGAGGCTGCTGTAACCTGCTCCAGGGTCAGTTTGGTTCCTGCCTGCTGCAGACCAGGGAAGACTCACAGGGTACATCTAAAGCTCCATCCACCCACTCCTGCTCACAAACGCGAACCATAGAAATGCAGCCATGACGATGCTCCAGGGGTGTTCCTAGCTACTGCTCCTAAGCATGCTAAAGACAGTACTCAAGACAGGCTATGAAGGATGCTCCCAGAGCATGTTTGAGGCTGCCTTCCTGGATTTTCCAAGTGCAAGAGGGAATATGCCCTTTGGCAGCAGTCTTGAGAGGGCTGGGTATGTGGTAGACACCCCACGCCTCTCAGCTTGAAGCCTACTCTGATAGAAGGATTCATCCGACCTAGAAACGATAAATACTTGCCTAAAGCCACTTGGTACAGACATTCAAAAAGCCTGAGCAGAATCCATCTCAACTATGTGGTTTTCTGTAAGTGGCATAGTTTAGATTCGTAGCAAACAGAACACACATTCACCCTTTGGTGGGGGTGGAGGCAAATCTTAGACTGGGTTTTACCATTTTTAAACCAGTCTGTGTGCACCAAACTGTTGTTACAGGTATAGACCAGTTTCCAATCACTTATACCTATAAAAGTGTAATGTCTGTATCTGGCTATAGAGAAGAAAACTGAGAATAGCTCTTCACTCTCCTGAGTCCTAGTGCTCCTTAATCACAAACCCAATCTTCCTTCTATAACAGGATGGAGGAGAAAAAAAACAGTCCTGCTTGCCTAAATCAAACTGCAGGGCTATTCACATGGGACTCATTAGACCCACTCAGTAGGAGACTTGAGCCTGAGGTATGCTGTAACCTGCGCAGTTGAGAGGTGTTTATCCATGAATTATTTTAGCAAACCCAGTGGGCCAAGGTCAGTTGCCTTGACCCCAATCTTGGTGTTACAGACTGAATGTTTTCACCTGTG